CGGTCAGGAGCAGTTAGAGCCAAAACCAGTGCAGTTATCCCCAGTAACAAGAGATGGCAGGCCTGGATCCGCGAGATCTAAGGATGATCTCCAAACCCCAGTGAGTAGACAAAAGCAGTGAATTAACGTTGGTATCACACATCACGCGGTGGATCCCAGAGTTTTAAGTGGTCAACAAATGTTAGACAACACGGGCGCCTGGCCGGCTCAGTCCGCGGAGCATGTGACTCTTGACATCGGGGTCGTGAGTTCGAGCCCCACATTGGGTGTGGAGCCTACTTAAAAATAAGTTCATTAAGTAAGCCAAATGTTGGAGAATAATAATAAGTGGGCACTCAGATCTGCTCTCTTCTCATTTCCCACCATCCCTACCGCAGTTCAGGCCTTTCCCATGACGTGCCTGCTTGGAATATTTCATGGTGCCCCGTTTTTTCCAGTCTCTGATCACCTCCATCGCTGCCTCCGCAGGTCTTGGCCTGTGCCCTTCAGATTTGCCTCCCTCGGTGGCGGTTCTCAGTGCTGGTCCCACATTAAAATCACCCAGAGCGCGTATAACACAACCAGAGGCCTGGGCTTTGTTTCCATGACACCTGGCGTAATTGGTCCGGAGCCACTGGGAGGCTCTGAAGTGCAGCCAAGGTGGGACCACTTAGCGGCGGGTCTCCAACCTGCTGCAGAGGGGTCCCCGTGAAACACACAGTCACGGCCTTTGTATATTCCGGTGGTGATCTTCTCCTTTCACCAGCCTCCCCTGCCCACCTCTTGTACTCAGGGCCTGCGTCCTGGCCATGCTGAATTACTTGCTAGTCCCTGATGGCACAAAAGCTCTGCTCTGCCTGGAGTGCCCGCTCTACTCCGTCTGGCCCCTTTACCTGCCTGCTCAAGTCCCTCCTTCTCTACCCCTTCCGGAAGTTTCTCTGATTCCCCCTGGAAAGATGTGTCCCTCTCCTTCGTACCTGCCTCTCTTGTTTGACCCTCATGGCTTTTGTACCTATGTTATCTGTGCCCTCTCCTCAGCAATGTGCTCCCTGTGGGCACCAGCAGGGAAGGAGGGCAAGAGCATAGGCTTTGAGGTCATTGGCAGACCCGGATGTGAGTCTTGCCTGCACACTTTCTGGCCTTGAGACCATTTTCTCAATTTTCTTCCCCTTTCTGAGCCTCAGCTTTCTCACCTGCAAAACGGGGGCGCAAATACTTATCTTTAGGATTGTTTGTGCATTTGACGAAATGTAAAACACTTGACTTAGCAGCTTAACTGACTCACAGGTGCTCAAAACATACGTTAACTCTAATTATTCATCTGACTACTCGGTGTTTAGCTCGGTACCTGATGCCCAGAAAGTACTGGAGGGTTTTTGAATGAATGAGTGGGATAGACAGTGGGTGCTACTGGGATTCAGAGAAGGGAGTGACCAGTGTTGAATCCACACATAGCTTCCTGGAGGAGATGGGATGTGAGCTGGCCCAGGATTTGGAAAGGCAGAAGGAAAAAGGGAAGACATCCCAAGGAAGAGTGGGGCAGGGGCAGTGAACAAAGTGACAGCAAAGGCATAGAGACTAATGTACACGTGAGCCAGACCAAAAGAGGAACTTGAAGCCTAAAGTAGGGAATGATAATCTCTGTTTCAATAATCAATCAGTCAACATTAAGTATCTATCATATGTTGGTCACTGGGCTAATAATAAGCAGTAGTGGACGCCACTGAATACAATTCAGGGCACAGTCCTCTCTCATGGGCTCGCAGCACAGAGGGGAAGGCTACCCTGCAAACAGTGCAGGGGTACCTGGGGGAAGGGTGGAGGGCCGCGGGACACGAAGAGCAGCTACCGCAGGGTTAGGGACGGGGGAGATTTCCTGGAGGAAGTCTAAAGGAGAAACTTCAAAGATGAACAGGGGCTGGGCCCACGAAGGGGAGGAGGAAGAGGACCGCTCAGGAGGGAGGGAGGCAACGCAAGCGTCAGAACCCGGCGGTGAGCACGAGTGTGCAGGGCAGGAAGCGAGACCGTCCTCCTGGCGGGAGGGTGGATTGTGAGCGGGTGTGATGGGAGTCTGAGCTCTCAGCAGAGACCAGGCCCTGCAAACCGCATGAAAGCATTTGGACTTTATCCTGAAGGCAGCGTTGAAGGGGTTAAGCAGAGAACTGGCAGGGTTCGGGAGTTCACTGTGTCCAGCACTGTGCTAAGTACTTACCACTTAGTAAGTGGTGTATCAAATTCACCACACAGCAACCCTGCGGAGAAGGTGTTGCCATGCCCATTTACAGAAAGGAAACCAAGGCCTAGAGAAGGGGGAGAACTTGCCTAAGGTCACACGGCTGGTAGGTAACACAGTTGGGCTTGGGACCCGAGTCTGACTCTGAAGCTTGGGCTCAGGGGGTCTGTGCCCTGTTGCCAGAGTGAACGGAGGTGTGGCTGGTCAGTACAATGCCAGAGCAGTGAGGACACTGGTCTGCCTGGAAGAGAGGGCTGGCCTGAGGAGATCAGGGAATCTTTGCGGAAACGTAGGGGGCAGTCAGATTTGGAAGGACCCCCGAATGCCAGGCTAAGCAATTTGGAAGTTACCCTGAAGACAACCCTGAGTGATTGAAGGTTCTAGAACAGTGAAACTATACGGACAGCAGGACCTAAGCATTCCCAAAGCAAAGTTAAGGACTGAGGCCTGAGAAATCTTAGGAATTCGAACTCGTCCTCTTAGGCAGTCACACCATTTTCCAGGGTCTCCCCAGAAATAGCCGGGATTGTACCAGCTGACTTGTCTCCTTAACTTGCTTTTACTAACCCAAATCCTTCTCTTTTGGTTAGGCTGTGCGACCACGGTGCTGGTGACAGGGGCAGGAATTGGCGAGATGGTTCTCCAGATGCTGGTTGGTTCGGTATGTGGGAGACCCTAGGGGCAGGGGACAGCATTTGGGGAGCCCCCCTCCAAGCAGGTGGGAAGATGTAGCCAGCCACCTTCTGAACCCAAGCTGTCCCTCTCCTGGGGGTCCCACACAGCAGGCAGGGCCCCCCTCCGTTACCTGTTTCCGCTTCCGCATGTGAGACCTGGAGATGTGAAGGGAGGTGCGGCGCGGTCCAAAGCAAACACAAGTCATGTCTGGGAGCGGGGCCAGCGGGGCCCTGTGGGAATGTCGTTCAGCTCCCAGAGCCTGGGATGGGATTGAGTGGCGGGCGGGAGCTCTTTTCCCACCCCTTCTCAACCTACCGTCCCCACCCCAGCTCCCCTAGCCTCTGGCCACCCTACACAGGGCCCAGCTTTCCTGCCCAAGTCCTGCCCTCATCGAGGGCCAGCCCTCCCGCGTCTCTTCAGACGTATCCATCCTCCCGGGTGCACCAGGAAAAAAATACATCTGCCTTTGTTTGAAGCTTCTAGCGCTGTTGCTATGCCCCCTTTTACAAAGGAGGATATTGAAGCTCAGATAAATTAGCAACTTGCCCTCGGTCAGTCATACTTCTAAAAACTGACAGGATATTCAAACCTAGGTCTTTGGGTCTCCCAGATGCCCCTAATCCCAACCCTCCTTTCCTGATCTTGTGCCCTCCCGGGAGGAGAGCTACACCTCCTGATAACACTCCGCATGGAAATGACGTGAGGTCTGGGGTTTGCTTCAGTGTGATCTAGTGCAGGGGACAGTGGAGGGGCACGGAGGTGCTAATTGCTAGTCGGGTGACGGGCCCAGGGGAACTCCGTAAGCTCCTTTGGCCTGTGTTTTAAATTTTCCATGATAGACATAGGTCTATACACATCCTCTGCAGAGTTCTGGTTCGGCCCTGTGGGTATAGACACGGTCTGACCGGAGTTTTAAGGAAGATGGAGAGATTTTCAGAAGCTTCCAGATACAGAGCGAAAAGGGACCGCAGGGGTCACGAGCAGGATTTCTGCCTCCTCCAGACACATAACCTTAAAATGAGGCCAAGACGTCCCTCCTACTCACCACCCTGCCCGTCGGTGTGACGGGCCTCAACCTGACTGCGGAGCCCGCCGGGGGTCGGGGAAAGCTGCTTCCTCCAGTGCGCCTTCCTGTGAGGCTCTGACGGCCTGCGTCTCTGTGTTTTCCCCTCTGGCAGATTTTCCAGGCCCAGGGCAGCTATAGCTTCCTGGTCTGTGGCGTGATCTTTGGTTGCTTGGCTTTTACCTTCTATGTCTTGCTCCTGTTTTTCCACAGGATGCACTCTGGACTCTCATCAGGTAAGGAAAGAATCTGTTGCTACACAAGAGGAGGAAAACAAAGTGAGGCGAGGCTGTGGGAGATGCTGTAGATCGTAGCACGCCACAAATACTGTTCTGTTCCAAGTAAAGTGCGAGGAAGTGTTTATTTTTCTACAGCTTCCTTTTCCCCTCTTCCTGCTTTGCCATGCGATTGTCCGCACTGGACTCTTAGGGCAGGAGGGAATGGGATAGGCTGACTCATGGTTTCTCCATCAGGAGAGGGGCACGGATCGTGAACTTGGCTTCCTGCATCCCACCATGCCGTGGGACCACGGGCCAGGATTCCCTTTCCAGCCCGTGTGGGGCCCTGAAAGGCGGCCTCTGCCGCCTTGGCTGGACCACGGCCCAGAGGCCTAATTGGCCATCTCTTTGCAGTTTGGGATTTTGACTCTAGTCCCAATTTCTTTTTCAAAAAGAGGTCCTCCAGGCCAAGTGGCAAAGAAAAGCTCCTTTGGGGCAGAGACACCTCCTAAGAATAGTCTCATTCCTGGAGACCCAAGGCAGGGGGTGTCCCGAGGCTATTTTTATGTCCCTGAGCCTCCCAGCCTTTCTGCCCAGAGATCTCAGAGTCCCAGGCACTGTATCAGCTGTGCACGTAGCCAGTTCTTAAGAGAAGGGGCCCAAGCGGAGCCCTCATCCTCTCCATAAAAGCAACATGATCACCAAACAATTGAAGGAATGGGTGTCTGCAATCCAATCTCTCAGACGACCACTCAGTTTAAAGCCAAGGAGAGCAATCCCACCACCCCCCCCCCCCCCCCCCCCCCCCCCGCCACACACCCTGGTCAGCACTAACTGTAGCCCCACTTCCAAGGTGGCCGGTACCAGCTGGTGTCTAGCCTAGCACTCAGCATGGAGCCTTCATTTAGGCCACACATTCGAGAACTATTTGGTGACTATCCAATGAGTAACACCCAGTGAGTTCCCTATGGTGGGAGACCAAAAGAAACCTATATTCCCTGAGCCCCAGACGCAAGTCTCAACGAACTCCCTCCACCAACAGTTTGCCAGAACCAGTAAGTCTGACTTTCTGCTTGTTCTCCCTGTGGAGCCATAGGATGGGAAAAGCAAAAGCCCGGGGAAGCTCTCGGAATGAATAATTGCCGCAGCTAATCAGAGCTGCTGACGCATGCTGCCTGTTTTTTCTGTTGTAGTTCCTACCCAGGACAAAGCACTGGGAATGGAAAGCCCAGAGTGCTACCAGAGGTAAAACTGGGGGAAGGGGGCAGGCGAAGATGGCCGGCCTCTCGAGCACCAGCACAGACCAAAGTGTTCAAGAAATTGGGGGTCGCCCTGGAGGCGATCTCTCCACGCCTTGGCTCGGATCTTTTCCACAAATACTTGGTTAGGTAGAAGAAATTGAACGGACTGGGAAAATCATTAGCAGTTTACTGGATGGATATTCAAGTTACCTTCCTCTCCCCCGGTTCGGACCTTTGGTAAGAGGTGTCCAGGATACCCCGATGGGAAGGAAGAAGACAGCCATATGCTTCGCTCCATTGGCCACCGACCACCTCCTGCATGGACCATCCCCTGGGTTTGAATATCACTTTTCGTTGAAGTTTGAAAGAACAGGTTGAAATTGTAAAGCTCGATGATCACTGCTTGCTGTAGATATATTTGAAATCAGTCAAAACAAACCCCAAGTTAGTTCCTGGCATGCTCAAATAATTTATGTGCTTTTTACTTTTTGGTAAGCCACGGTCCCTCAAATTCCCGTTGCTGATATCCGTAGTTCGTTTAAAATCTAAAACATCGAAAGGAAAAGTCGAATCTTGCTATCTTTGGGACACTAATTCAGTGGTATGCTGGGCTGGCTCGTACTAGCTGATAAAAGCCGGTCGTTAACATTTCCTTTTGAGAGCTAGTTGTTAAAACTCGGCCAGTATTAAACATGAGATTTTATAGAAAGTTAACAATTCCGTTAAAGACAAGGGAAAGAACCACTCAAAACTCATCACTTCCTTGAAGGTACCTAAGCGTATTGGACCTGTACAGGGGAAATAGGATACGGAGGTGTGGCTCTGTCCATCTCTTCCCAGATGCGCTTTCAGTGGTAACGTGTCTGGTGGCCCGAGATCAGCCACGTGGGAGGAGTCACCCCATAGGAACTGGCAGAGGCTACACATCCTCCCTTTTCTCTTCCCCCGGGAGAGCCAGTTGTTAAACATCTACCTGCAAGTACCCCACTGCTAACGATCAGTGCTAACGGGCTCAGAAGCCGTCTGGGAGAATGGGATGAAGGTTGACCGCGCTTACGCGAAGTGTAGGCACAGCACTAAGGAATTCTCAAAAATACCTGATTTAAACTTTACATCTTTTGTCAAGGAAAACAGCTCTTTGTACCACGTCAGGTGGGTTTCCTTAACAAAAAGCTGGGACTGCCGAGCGATGCGGGGGGAGCAGCACACCGAAAGCAGTGTGGAGGAGGGGGCTCTCCCGACCGACCGAGCAGATCCCCTAGTAACCGAGAGGGCACAGAGCCTGCCACTTGGAAAGGGTGAGACCACGGAGGCGTCTGTAAGTAGTAAAATGGCCGTGACGGTGACTGTACGTGCGCTTACCTGCAGCTTCTCTGCGTTATGTACAAACGTGCATGTGTGGCTATAAAAAGGGGATCGAGGTTCTCTGTAGCCTGAGCCGCAGGCCCCACACTGAGCAGCGTACCCCAGATCGGTGGCCTTGTCATGTCAGCCGGCTGCGTCTGCCAGCATATCCCATGTGGTGACGGGGCCCTGGCCAGCGAGCGGGCGCTGGCCTCTCTCTCTAGCTGTGCGGCCCTGGGCGGATCCCTCACTGATGGTCTTCCAGCCTTGCTTGTTCTTGTTAAATCGAAGTGACATTTCTAAAAGAACTTACCCTACCTCAAAGGAATTCTGAAAGAATGAAGTGGCTTTGTTTAAAGCAATTATTGTATGCCTGACCTAGAAACTGCTTCATAAATGCTAGCAATTTTTAAAACCTCTTCATAAGCAGATTCGAAATTGTTCGTATGTTTGGTACATAATTATTGTTAAGTCAAACAGATCTAAATTTTTTTGAAGGCTGATGGTCTAAGGGTGTAGTTTTAACTATGCCTGTAAATACTTAAAAATAGCTGATGGCTGCCGGACTTCAATGTGCAATCTAACTGGAGTGACTGACCTGGACAAAAAGGAAGTAGCTGTATTTTTCTCGTGGTTTTTCAAAACAAACAAACAAACAAACAAAAAAACCCGCATCCTTTTTATACAGATTTACAAAGAAGGATCAATGGCTTTATCTAAGGTGATCATGATTAATTTGAGAATATAGAAAACGAGATTGAAGCAAATCTAAGTGTACCTTTCCTGAAATAAAATATTTTAAATTTAACAAGTGTGTTATCCATTATGGACGATCGAGCCTTTTATATGCAGCTCAGAAACAAATGACCAAATATTTTCCAAAGAGAGGTCTCTCTCAAACTGTAGGTTCACATGGCTGATATTTTAGAAGAAATGAAACTGTTAGACTGAGAATCACTATTTCCCTCGTTCGTATAATCAGAATAAGGGAAGGCAGAGGTTTTGAAACCCCACTTCAAAATCAGTTCCAGAGCAAGTGGGGCTTTTTACCTGATCTCCTTTGAAGAGTGTGACATTTCAGAGTGCAGCGGGATCACCCTGTTCCCAGATGTCCGTCTGCTGCTTGGAGGCAGGAATCTAATCCATCTGTACGCCAGATTCACTGAAGGAAGACAGACTGACCGAGCGGTCTTTTAGAGGATTGATTCATTTATTCGTTTTTAAAAGATTTAGGGGGTGCCCGGCTGGCTTAGTCGGGAAGCACATGTGACTCTTAATCTCCGGGTTGTAAGTTTGAGCCCCACGCTGGGTGCAGAGATTAAGAATAAAATCTTTAGCAAAAAAAAAAAAAAAAAAAAAAAAAAAAAAAAAAAAAGATTTATTGAGCCACCTGTTATGTCCAAGGCACTGATTAGGTGCAGAGAATCGGCAGAGAATGAGATAGAAGCATCTGCCTCAGATTACACTGCAGTTGAAGACAGAAAGACAGGAAAAGGACCATGCCGCGAGATGAAGGATACTTGAGTGCCACAGAGGAACATAAAGCAGGGGAGTGGGAAGAGGGATTGGCAACAGATGCTCCTGGAAGCCTTCGTAAGGAGGTGCCGTCTGTGCTGGCACCAGATGATGGGCGGGAGCAGTGACTCCAAGTCCCAGGGACAGCTCGTAGGAGGCAGGGGAAGGGGTGAGTGCACAGGCATCGGCCAGCATTCATGTCTGTCCCTGAGAGGCAGCAAGCTGGCCAGTGAGGCTTAAATGCAGTGAGCAAGGTGGTGACAGGAGCAGGAAGCAGGCGGGAGTGGCAGCGAAGGGCCAGATCCTACTTGCCATGGCGGGAGCACGGATTCTGTTGTTTTTATGTGAAATCGTTGGGAGTTGCGAGCAGGCAGGGCACGTGGTCTCATTTACACTTCTAAAAGTAATACTCTGCTTGTTGTGAGGAGAAGAAACTGGGGGGCAGGAATGAAACCGGGACACTGGCGAGGGCACCACTGCCTAAACTACGCAAGAGACGTTGGTGGCTTGGACAATGTTGGTAGCATCCGAAGTAGTGAATGCGATTGGATTCAAGCTCTATTTCGAAAGTCGAATGGATAGAATTCGCTACTGGAGTGGGTATGGGTGTGAGAAAAACAGGAATCTAGGATGACCCCAAGGCATTGACTTGAGTTACTGGCTAGATGACGAGGCCAGTGAACACTGGAGGATGAAGGAGGTGCTCCACAATTGTCTTGCACATGTTCATTTTATGATGGTATCTCGGATGTGAAGAAGGCTAGTAAGTATAAATGCACAGAGCTTCAACGTCAAGCCCAAAGATATAAATTTCATGGTCACATACCTATAGAGCTTAAAGCTGTGGGACTGAAGACGACCACCTAGAGAGAGAACATATGACTAGAAGGTTGAGCCCTGGGGTTCTTCAACAGTGGTTTAAAAAATATATATATGGTCCAGCAGAGCAAATGAGAGAAGCCACGGAAGGAGGAGGAAGTTCAGGAGAGACTGTGGTTTCCTGGAAGGCACCATGAAGAGTAAGTATCTCAAGGAGGAGGAAGTAACCAATGCTGCCATGAATTCTGATGAGGACTGAACATCGACCACTGGACTGGGCAACATGGAAGGTGGCCTTGACAAGAGTGGGGTTTCTGTCAATGATGCTTTGAAAAGCACATGGGAATCATAACATTGACTGTGACGTTCCAACAACCTCCTCGACACCAACGCTTTCCGTCTGGCAGAAATGATCTTTCCTGTTTGATTTTTCATCACACACTGTCCTCTTAAAGTTATCCCGAAGGAAGTCACCTTCATGAACTCCAGTTACAGGGCATATTCCTCTTTTTTTTTTTTTTTCTTTTTAAGTTTTATTTAATCTCTGCACCCAAAGTGGGGCTTGAACTCACAATCCCAAGATCAAGGGTCACGCTCCTCTGACTGAGTCAGCCAGGCACCCACAGGGCATATTCCGGTAAGTGCAGTGCTTTATAGTGACAAACCAGTGTGAGAGCTTTTTTTTTTTTTAATTTATTTTTGAGAGAGAGAGAGAGAGAATGAGAACGAGCAGGGGAGGGACAGAGAGAGAGGGAGACAGAGGATCCAAAATGGGCTCCATCCTGACAGCAGAGAGCCTGACGTGGGGCTCAAACTCACAAACTGAGATCATGTCCTGAGCCAAAGGTAGATGCTTAACCGACTGAGCCACCCAGGTGCCCCAAAAGCTTACAACTGTTAATGATGATCTCCAACCTGGTAATGCAAGCTCTGGGAAATTACTCAATGTTAGGGCTTTAGTTTGTCATCAGATGCATCTATAAAACACAGAAAGTGATTGCAAAATGGACATTATGCCTCTCAAGAGAATGTGTCAACAGCCAGAAAGGTTAGAAAATGGTGGATCGAACAGGCTTTTTTACTGAAGGATTTCTTAGAGATTTAATATTCTAATATGCATCTTGAATCTCCAAGAGGTGGTGACCCCATTTCCCAAACGTATTCGACCTCCCGGGACTACGGTTTTAGGTAATATTATTTTGACGACAGCAGTTTAGGAGGATCCGGCTGTCGTCCTAAATGGTTACTACCCAAACACGCTGAACATGGTTTACCCACCATCTGAAGTGAAGCTTCATTGCCCCCCACGGAACTCTTACTCCATCTCATT